ATAGCAGTGACATTATTTTAGCTACTGTGGTGGTGGTCGTGGTAGTAGTTGTACTGGTACTTGAAGCATGATATGGTAAATATTACACTAGCCCCATTCACTACCTATTACAATTCCTGCTCCCCATTTTAGTTCGGATGGACAGGGATGTCAATGTCAGTTACAGCAACAACAAAATATTGCCAGGTAATGATTTTCAAATATTTCGAAGAGGGAGAGAGCAGTAGTCGGTGGAAGAGGGGAGGGGAGGGGGTAATGACTTAAATTTAAGAAAACTTAAAGAGCTTTACACGTGATTTTCAGGTTCTCATTACCTAATTTGTTTATATTTTACTAATGCTACCTCCGCTTTTCTATATTTTACGACTTACTTTATTATTTACAAGTACAGTTGTAGCTTTACTTCCGTCTCCTAAAAAAATACAAACAGCTTTAGCATGTGATAACCAAATAACCATTTTTTGTTACTGTGCTAATAACACCATTTAAACAACCACTAATATAAGGGCAAAATTATAAGGTGCGTGTTCTAAAGTTGGAAAACCAGACTATCTCTATATCTGTGCAGAGAATGATTGCGACATCAACTATATTAGACACGTGCGATTTCCATTGTCTTTCTTTTCCAAAAACCTTTGATGACGGAGAGAGTATAGGTGGATTTAGTTGTGGTGGTGGTGAGGGGGGGGGGGGCGGGGATCAAAGACTATCTCTATATCTGAGCAGACAATGATTGTATTAGACACGTGCGATTTCTATTTTCTTTTATTTCCATTTAGCCAAAACTATGCCACAGCAATGCGTGGCCGGGTACAGCTAGTTTATATATATATATATATATATATATATATATATATATATATATATATATATATATATATATATATATATATATATATATATAAAACTTATGTTAAAGGCCCATCCCGTCTGTCATCTGGCTCCCTAATATAACCTAGCGGTTCAACAGGGTTTCTACGACTGGTGCCTGGGGGGAAATTCTCTACCAAATGGTGGCACTTTGTGTCACCAGGTGTTAGTCGCATGTTGTGCGGTCCTAGTGAGGTTGAACGTCACTCACTCACTCGCTGTGCCTGTTTGGTAAGTCTCTGTTTGTCTCTTCTTATAATGTGTCCAGTATAGCGCCTACTTCTCTGTTAAAAAATGTTAGTCTGCATTAAAGGATTTTAATGGACATTGCAGAACCAACTCAGCTTGGGCTGGGGAGGGGCTGTTGTGGTTTTTCTAGGCAAATTTAAGTTCAGTAGTTTGCCATTGCTTTCCTGGCAGTCGGTATTAGCAAAGCCTAAATCTTCTCTGTGCGTACCAAATTTCAAATATTGTATTTTTTGCCATTCACGACATTATTGTTATTATTAATATCATTAAAACTACAGGAGGCTAAGCCCACCTCCCTGTATTATGTGTATCGACGCCTCAGATCACCTCCCATGTATTCTGTGTATCGACGCCTCAGCTCACCTACCATGTATTCTGTGTATCGACGCCTCAGCTCACCTCCCATGTATTCTGTGTATCGACGCCTCAGAACACCTCCCATGTAATCTGTGTATCGACGCCTCAGAACACCTCCCATGTATTCTGTGTATCGACGCCTCAGCTCACCTCCCATGTATTCTGTGTATCGACGCCTCAGCTCACCTCCCATGTATTCTGTGTATCGACGCCTCAGCTCACCTCCCATGTATTATGTGTATCGACGCCTTCGATCACCTCCCATGTATTCTGTGTATCGACGCCTCAGAACACCTCCCATGTATTCTGTGTATCGACGCCTCAGATCACCTCAGTCTGTGTTCTGTGTATCGACGCCTCAGATCACCTCAGTCTGTGTTCTGTGTATCGACGCCTCAGATCACCTCAGTCTGTGTTCTGCAGTGAATTAGACACTGAGGCTGATAGATGTGTAGTTTGTGCAAGGCGTTTGATGATTTGATTATCTTACCACTGGTGTCTGCCTGCGTATTGCTACTGCGCTTTGGTACATTTCCTGGAGAGATCAGAACCAACATGAAGGTATCAGATCGTCAGACGTGACACCTCCCCCCTGAGGATAGTTTGATGGGTAGTTGGATATGGAATGTGAAATCCAAATAGCAGACTGTAGACGCAGATAGCTTTCGTTTCGTCTAGGACAAGGCATTATTTTGATGTGGAAAGATAGTCGCCGAACTAATGTGAAATTGCAACAAAGAGAATTGCAAACATAATATCATAATCATCGTCATCAGCCTCTACTTCTGCCGTGGAGCAGCGTGGGGAGGAACAGTTTGCAGTCCAGGGTTAGATGGTAAGCACTTGTTGTCATTTAGTGTGGATGCGACCCTGGATCGCAAATGATTTCTCCCCACAGCGCTTAACGGCAGAACTGGTTTGTGATGTTTGTGATGTCATGTCTGCAATTTCATCAGCCCATCCTCTCCTTAGACGCCATCTTGCTTTGATATAACATATTTTAGTTGATGCGCCGGGGTTGGTGGTTGTTACATTCTAACATGACGACCAAACCATTTAGTTTTCTGCTCCCCATGTGGGTTGCTGGACTCTAATCGGAAGAGGAGGCTTCCTTGTAAGCACTTGTTGTCATTTAGTGTGGATGCGACCCTGGATCGCAAATGATTTCTCCCCACAGCGCTTAACGGCAGAACTGGTTTGTGATGTTTGTGATGTCATGTCTGCAATTTCATCAGCCCATCCTCTCCTTAGACGCCATCTTGCTTTGATATAACATATTTTAGTTGATGCGCCGGGGTTGGTGGTTGTTACATTCTAACATGACGACCAAACCATTTAGTTTTCTGCTCCCCATGTGGGTTGCTGGACTCTAATCGGAAGAGGAGGCTTCCTAACAAGCATGTCATAACATCCTACTAATTAGAGCGGTTCCGTCGAAGTCAGGGGTGTGCCAGCTGGAGAGGCTTGTAATCAACAGTCTGCATACAAATAAGCCAGATCTCTAAAACGGACATGCACGCAAAACTCAAGTTCTGGAACAAGATCAAAGTCCACAAGTGGACGAACACCCAGAACTTTTCGCCGGAGTTTACAGTCAGCGGCTGGGGGAAAGGCTAGAGAAAGGAAGGCGCTCCGACGTGCCATGACGAGAGCGACGTTTTACAAAGGACCTGCAGCTGGTGACGATGATTATCCCATACTTCACTTATTGATTCCTGTGAGACCAACGCTGAAAAAAGCATGAACACAGTGTAACCACGACCGGCTCCAGCTGACGGGCCGTGCTGCTGACGTCACCCGGTCGGGGATAACAAAGCGTTAACGCAGCGGTTCTCAAACAAGAAATAAACTATTTTAGACAGTGGCGAGGGAAGACAACTCAAATTTTAACATTTGAGTATCTAATTTCCTTCTTTACAAATTTAGCAATGTTTAGCCGACTTTTCTGGATTTTTGTCGCAGCACCCCTGGCATACGCTCATGGGATAGCTCGGCAACCAGTTTGAGAACCGCACCATCAGCTGGAGCCGTTCGCGGTATAACTCTAATGTCCATACACATGAATTTACGGGGTCAACAAATTAATTACCTTTACTGCCTGTAGTTACCAATTTTTTTTTTTTTTTTGTAAGCGGTCTGGGACAGTGGTCTTGAGCCTGCTGATTTAGGGCCCTTCTCCGCGTCTTCAGACGTATTGGGCATATAGGCGAGATCTAGGGGTTATAGACCAATCGGCATTCGGTGAGTGACGTGGCCAACATCATGCCCGCCGCTTTTATTTCCTAGAACTTGTTTCTAGTACCCATTTAAGGATGGCTCGACCTGGGAGCCAGAGTCCATTAGGGGGAGGGGTGCAGCTCCGTTCGGATTTGAACCTACGACTTTCGGATCCACAGCGAGCGTCTAACTGGTACATCACGGTGGCTGCCTGGTTACTTACGGCCACGTGGCTAATGCAGTTGCCACGGGCCAAGTTAAGGTTTCATTTTTTCTTCTTCTCTGTTCACTTGGTTGAGCTTCTGGAAAAGTCCTAATGGTTCGTCTCTTTGACTTTTTGCGAGGGCCTCAGTTTTGCTTGTACATCCGTTTTAGTGACTTATTTGTGTGCAGTTGGTTGCTCCTTGCCGCTCGGGTCGATGCACTCTAACTTTGAAGGAAGCTCCCAATTAGTCGACTCCTACGACATGCTTCCATATGTCTGGAGGCAGTGGGTCTATTCTTGTTTTCCCTCACAATGGGGCCCTGGAACCCACGGGGGGGGGGGGGGGGTTGAAGGGAATAAAGTCAAAATGGTAGGGAGGACATGAGGGTGAGCTGCACGCGATAGTAACAGATTAGGACAATTGCGACACCGGGAAGGCTAACCCGGTCAACAAATGCCTGCAGAAGTCGGATGTGTTGGCCGAAAGGTGCAAATATCGCAGCCATGCTGTAAACTGACACAACGCAATTACATCTTCGGATGAACGCAGAGAAGAAAGAAGAAGAAGAACAATTGGGACAGTAGCGAGGCGTGTATGTAAAGGCTGTCATTTGCCGCTTTCATTCTCGATTTAAAAAACAATGATGAATTTGTTGTGTGTGTAAAACTAAGTATCATTATTATTTACTATTTATCAGAAACACGCCACTCGGTTTACGTGTGACTAATTACTTAAAGCTTGTTGTTAACAGTATTAACATAGTGAGAGGGAAAAAAAACGTTCGCTGCATGCTTACGGCACTGGTGCAGAACTGTAAACCTGTGAGAGCTACCAGTTACTAATAAAACGATTCTAGCTGCTCACGAATACTTTCAGCAGCGAGGCGTCAAGAAGGAAAAGTCACGTGATACCACCTCCCAAATGTAATCATTACCTACTGATGAATAATTGTATCTAAACCAGCTTACACTGCGAATTAATCAAGCTTCGCCACTGAGATAGGACTAACTGACACGTTGTTGATTTAAAAGCTACTCTCACTGGTGGTTAAAGACGAACCCACTAGTGGTTTCAATGTTGACCTTACGTTTCTGTTCACAGGTCAGCAAGACCCGCCTATGGATTAATGATACTTAACAGAAAGGACCTGAACAACCTGGTCCAGCCGCTAACAAGCCAGGTGGAGTTCCATCTCAACACACCTTTCCTGCTGTATAAGAAGTTGTCGGATGACATTGAAGATGGTAGGTGTCTGGTTATTTTTCTCTTTCGTAGCCAACAGCATATTTCGGTAATGTGGATCCACAGGTCATGGGTTTAGGTCCAAGCGGAACCGGACTTTTTTTTTTTTTTACAGAAATGGCTCTGGTCGACCCCAGTCTGGAATGGGTACCTTGTGAATTCCTGGGAAATAAAAAGTGTCCAGAATGATGTGAACTGCATCGTCCACTGTAGGTCTATCGGTCAGTAAGCACCATATGGTTAGTAACGCGCTCTATCGGGCGTGGAGCTTCAGAATCAATCGGTCACTTGAGCACGTGAAAACTACGGGAGTTTGAGAATCAAAGAATCATAAAAGTATAATCACATGCAGTTGTGAGCACACCTGAATCGTCACAGCCTGTGACAATTTACGGATTGCACAAACCAGACAGGGGTCCTAACCCCCAGAGCATAATATTCAGGTAAATAAAGGAAGTTTTTGCACACCTTTGTGTGTATTAGGCATAGGAGGTTAGACTTTTATTGTTATAGACCTACTGCCGCCTAAACAAACGTGTCGTACAAGGCGACTAATAAGGGGTGTTTCATTTGAAAGTTGAAATGCAGCTGCTTGAGAGGCGAGGAGCCAACTGAATCCTAACCCCAAAGCTTAATTTCAGGGAAGTAAAGATCACTTGTCAACGCCTTAACGTGTAAATGGCAAATAGGGCTAGACATATTTTATAGACCAATCGGCATTCAGTGAATGATGCGTTCAATTTGACGCCTGTCGCTTTTACTTCCCGTGATTTGTACCTGGTACTCATTTATGTTGGGGGGGGGGGGGGGGCAAGGATGGGAACAGGATGAATATAGCTCTGTTCTGAAGCGTCATTTCGGAAGCTCTTGGGTTTTTGTCCTGGTGGAATCAGAGTTTTGTTTTTGTTTTTTCAAAACATTGCTATGGCTCCCCGGTCGACCCAGCCTTAAATGGGTACCAGAGGCAGTCCTGGGAGTAAAGGCGGCAGAGAGAATGCTGACCACATCACCCATCAAGTGCCGATTGGTCTATAAAATTTAGGTCAAGCCTCCCCGTATGGATTCCAAGGGCCCCATTATGGGAAAAACAGTGCTTCACAAGAAGCATGTCGTAAGAGTCGACTAATTGGGGGCTTCCTTCGAAGTCGGAGTGCATCTGCCTGAGAGGCTATGAACCAACAGTCTGCATGCAAATAAGTCAGATCTGTAAAACGGATGTTCGAGCAACACTCAGGTTCTGGGACAAGTCTAAAGTCTAGAGGTAGTTCAACAACCATAAATTTCCGTCCTGTTTACAGCCTGTGAACGCGAAGAAGAAGCAGATAGTTCTAGCCATATGTGACCAATACGCCTGAAGGTTTGGACAAGGCTCTACCCGTGTAATCCGGAAATCGCAGTTTCAGTTTCATAGCAAACGGGTCAACCCATAGATAGTTCGCTCCGCTCCTGTGCCAACGAAAGCCACACAGAATGTGCATCACTGTCCTTTGTGAACAAACCGACATTAACTGCCAGCCCCAGCTTATCCAGTAGTATTCACGCGAATTAAATGCATGAGGCAGCCGTCAGAAGTGCTAACACAAACAGTCCGACACTAGAGTGTTCATCACCAATAGTGGCAGCAGTTATCACAGATCAGTTGTACACGCGATTAATTTCACAAGGACCCACCAGTTATAGGGCAATTGGCCACTCGTGATTTTTTTAATCTACAGTTCACAGCAGAAGCAACTTTAGATTTAGTCAGAAATCACTCCAAATTAAATCTGCAGCTCACAGTGTTGCGCCGTGCACTCATCTTAGTACCTGGGCGACGGAATTATACCCTTTCAGTCTACAGTATCTACTATTATATTAAGACCACAAGGGTAGGTGTTGTAGATTTAACAAGCCCTGTGACGCTTTCACCTCATGCGTGTCCTGGGTTCTTTTACCCACAGCAATCTTGGGGATCTGGTTCGTGGACAGAGGCGAATGCCTGCGGCTGACGGAGACTATTCAAAGGTAAGTCAATCGTATTGTCTGACCCAGTGCCGTCTTCACGCATGAGCCCGCTGGGTACTTGTTGTCTCCGGGCCCCACCAACAAAGGCCCCTTGCTAATCGGTGTATGTTAAGTCACTTGCCATGAAAGAAGTTCTTAGTGATTTCATAATGCGCCACCTAATCTGTATCATTGTTGTAACGCCAGTTTTATTGCAGTGCTAATACAGTAAATATGTGTTTAATATAGTATCAACCATTTGCGTTTCATTCGTGTAAAGCACACTCTCTCTCTCTCTCTCTCTCTCTCTGCTTCGGAGAATTTTTGTATGGATTTCCGTAAAACATTGCACTAGTAAGTTGGAGAAGGCGCTAGTAAAACAAACCCACGATCTTCATAGGCTGCGTGGATTTTTGTCGTGGTATGGGACGTCGCAGGTCGACCCAGCCTAAAATGGGTACCAGGATAGGCTGTCCTGAGAAAGTAAAGACAGCCGGCGTAATGCTGACCCTATTACTTACCCACAGGGTGCTGATGGTCTGTAAAAATATGGGACGCTCTGCCCATATGCCCGATGCGCTGGAAGGTGTGAAATGGGATCTTTACTTTACTTTACTTTAATTACGATCTTCGTAACACGTGGCGATCGGCTAGACCGTTCGACATGGAAACCCTCAGAATTAGGTTACAGCGGGGTAATCCAGATACACATGTATGGTCGAAACTGCACAGTTCAGTGACCTCTGTGGTCAACATTGATGGTTGCTGTGAATAAGGCCATGCCTGACAGACCGTGTGTGCAGAGAAAGAGAGAGAACGATGTGCTCGCCCTAGTCGGACTTCCGAGTTCCCAACAGGGCTGCCAATAGGATTTTTTTTTTTAAACCCAGCTTAGCTCAACAAAAACCCAAGCAATACATAGACACACACAAAACCCAACCCAAAAAAAAACCCAAGATTGTTAAAATGTACAAAATTTATACTTACGAAACGAAACATTTACCACTTTTATATAAGGTATATTTAAAAAAGAAAAAAAAAAAGATTTCCCCCCAGGCGTCAAATAAAAACCCAGATCTCGGGGTAAAACCAAAGCATTGGTAGCCCTGGTTCCCGGCAGCGGGCGTGTCGCCTACCGCCATGTGCAGGCATAGCAGACGATTGTAGACCAGACTTCTTGTGTCCTTGAGTTTTTTTGTTCTTTCTTCCACGTCTACCTGCTTGCTGATTATCACACATCCGCCTGGCTTGTTTGGTCATTTATTTGAGTTTTGTCATGTTGATGCTTTCTCTCTCTCTCTCTCTCTCTCTCTCTCTCTCTCTCTCTCTCTCTCTCTCTCTCTCTCTCTCTTCTCTCTGGCTCAACACTCACACACAATTTCAGCCTCTCTATTTCACCTCTTCTCTCATTCACTCTCTGTCCCTCTCTGTGTGTTTTTCTCTGTGTCTTTCTCTCTCGCACATATTCTCTCGTCTAACCCTGTCACTAATGCACACACAATTTTTCAGTCGTTCCCTCTAACTTTCTCTCTCTCGCTCTCTCTCTCTGTCTCTCTGTTTCTCTCTTTCTTTCTTTCTTTCTTTCTTTCTTTTGTTCTCTCCCACAGTCTGTGTGTCTGTCCGTCTCTTTCACTGAGCTTATTTTACTGCGTCTTTCAATATGTATACTTCTCTGCTTTTGCTTACATCCATTCATTCATTCGTTCTCTTCCACACCCTCCCCCTTCTCCCTCTCTCTCTCTCTCTCTCTCTCTCTCTCTCTCTCTCTCTCTCTCTCTCTCTCTCTCTCGTTTTGCCTTTCAGTTATCTTCTGATGTTCTTGTTTCATAGACCTCTCTGATGCGACTTGTTTGTGTGTGAATTCCTCCATAGAATTATGTTCTCGTATTCCCTCTTTGTGTATCAAGGATATTCTTCTTCTTCTTCTTCTCTTTGTCTCCCGTTGGAGCATAGTGTCACAACCAACGCATGCCAAGTAACCATATCCTTCGCCACCGCTTTCAGCTCACCGTATGGGTGTTTGATTTTAATTGAGCATTGATTGTCAAATATTTTTCGTTAGCAAAATGTGAGTGGATGGGAGAAAGGGGAGATTTAGAGGGAGTAGAGGGTGAGAAAGATAGAGACAGGGATCTCAGAGAGAGGAACAGTGTGAAAGAAATGATGGAGAGAATGTGAGAGAGAGGAGGCACAGAGAGAGGAACAATGTGAAAGAAATGATAGAGAGAAAGAGAGAGGGGGAACAGAGAAAGGAACAAGAGAAAGGAACAGAAAGATAGAAAGAAATGATGGAGAAAACAATGAAATAAATGATGGAGAGAAAGATAGAGAGGGGAAGAGAGAGAGGAACAATGTGAAATAAATGATGGAGAGAATGTGAGATAGAGGGGGCACAGAGAGAGGAACAATGTGAAAGAAATTATGGAGAGAAAGATAAAGAGAGGGGGGAACAGAGAGAGGAATAATGTGAAAGAAATGATGGAGAGAAAGAGAGAGGGGAACAGAGAGAGGAACAATGTGAAAGAAATGATGGAGAGAATGTGAGAGAGAGGGGGCACTGAGAGAGGAACAGTGTGAAAGAAATTATGAAGAGAAAGATAGAGAGAGGGGGAACAGAGAGAGGAATAATTTAAAAGAAATTATGGAGAGAAAGATAGAGAGAGGGGGAACAGAGATAGGAACAATGTAAAAGAAATGATGGAGAGAATGTGAGAGAGAGGGGGCACAGAGAGAGGAACAGTGTGAAAGAAATGATGGAGAGAAAGAGAGAGGGGGAACAGAGAGAGGAAAAATGTGAAAGAAATGATGGAGAGAAAGATAGAGAGAGGGGCACAGAGAGAGGAACAATGTGAAAGAAATGATGGAGAGAAAGAGAGAGAGGGAACAGAGAGAGGAACAATGTGAAAGAAATGATGGAGAGAAATAGAGAGGGGAACTGAGAGAGGAACAGTGTGAAAGAAATGATGGAGAGAAAGACGGAGAGAGGGGCACAGAGAGAGGAACAGTGTAAAAGAAATGATGGAGAGAATGGGAAAGAGATTCTGCTGTCATAGAGCCCTGCGTTTTTGCTTGAGTGATTTAACTCTTAGTCCGCGGTAAGCCGCTAGCAGAGCCTCGCATTTCCTGCTAAAAAGTGTTTCACAGAATTCCCATCTTGTTGAAAGAAGGAACCTGGATGATGTAGCAGATTGGAAATTACAACTTTTAGCAAACCTTGAATATTTAGTTCTAATGCTTGATCAGTGCAGCTGTACTTTTCACAGATCGGTAAACTTGGCTGGTCGCCATTCATTTACACACGTACTTATCCACGTGTTGTCTGTAAATGCAGCGAAAAGATTGCTCGTTGCATGCTTACGCCTATCGTGCCCGAAACTGTAACATGTGACAGCTACCAGTTGCTAGTACTGTATTGCTAGCGGCGAACGGATATTTTTATCAGAGAAACGACGCGGAAAATATCACACAAAACTCTTCTCAGTGTAATCGTTATCTGCTAACGCTTACACGTGCAAACTGATAATGCCGTTCCACTGCGATGCAGTAGACTTCAGAGAGGCGCGAAAGTGGTAACCCGTGGCCATGGTTTAAGAAGACACCGAGGGTACAAGTTGTGTCAAAAATGTACACAGTACTGTATAGAAATCATTCCCGTGTGAGTTCCGGGGCCCTGTTATAGGGAAAACAAGAATAGACCCACTGCCTACCCAAAAGCATGTCGTAAGAGTCGACTAATAGTGAGCTTTCTTCAAAGTCAGAGTGCATCTGTCTGAGAGGCAAGGAAGCAGCAGAATGCGTTAAAATGCTTCAGAATAAAACGGATGCACACCCAGCACTCAGGTTCTGGAACAGGACTGCAGTCCAGAAGTGGATGAACAACCAGATCTTTCACAACCGAGTTTACAGCTGGTGAACGCGAAGAAGTAGAAGAAGAAGTGTGGAAATTTGAAACCTCGGAGGAGAAAGTCTGCAAATAAAGACGTGGAAAATATAAATACTCGTCATTTATCAACATCACAAGAAGATGATCAAGTTATGTTAATGTTGGCAGCTGAGACCGCGCGGCTTCTCGGTATGTTTGTTTGTTTGCTCTTGATTCCTGGAGAGATAGCGCAGCCCAGCGCCGGCACCCTGCAGGGACGAGGTCTGCGTTGTTGTCTTGGTGCCCGGCTGGTTCTCTTTCACAGGAGTTATTTTGTTTGATATACTCTGTGGCCGCGTTCTTCAGCCTGTAGTTCCGCGGACCTATCCCAATCCATCGAAATGTTCTGACGGTCCGTCTAAAATGCAGTGGCATTCATGTAATAGCTTTAATCACTGCTTGAAGTTGCCATTGCCATTTTTTCAATTAGTTATTTAACTATTTATTATTACTGTTTACTGTATATTTACAAATACACCACTCAGCTTATCTCTCAAGTATAGCATAGCCGGGGTGGGGGGGGGGGGAGGGGGAGGCGCTTACACCGCTATTGCGGAAACTGACGTGTGAAAGCTGCCACAAGGAGGAAAGTGTCACATGATCCCTCTCCAGTGTTATCATTGCCGCTAACGCTTCCACTCGGAAATTGACTTCACCTGACCACTGCTAAAATTTTACCCCAGTCACGTAGCAGCTACAGTGAAAACCTAATTAACATAAATTAGATATCAGTGTTATTACAGCAAATTTGTGAATCTGTGTTATTAGAGCACATTTGTGAATCAGTGTTATTACAGCACATTTGTAAATCAGTGTTATTAAAGCACATTTGTGAAGCAGTGTTATTATAGCACATTTGTGAATTGGTGTTGTGTTATTACAGTACATTTGTAAATGAATGTTATTACAGCACAGTTGCGAATCAGTATTATTACAGCACTTTTTGTGAATCTGTGTTATTACAGCACATTTGTGAAGCAGTGTTATTACAGCGCATTTGTGAATTGGTGCTGTGTTATACAGATCATTTGTGAATCAGTGTTATTACAGCACATTTGTGAATTAGTGTTATTATAGCACATTTGTGAATCAATGTTAT